GACCTGTGGTCTGCTCTGTGGTCCAGAGCGATGGGGATGGCAAAACATGAGGCCAAGCCGTGCTTCTTGATCACTATAGTTATGTTGGGGCCAGAGTTGTTCACCCCTGTGTAAGGTTTCCTGGGGATGGGGGTTATTTTTGTACTGACACAGTGCATAGATGGTTATTACTTTGAGATTAAGCCTTTATCAGCCAGGCTCAGGCCCTCAAAGTTTTTATAACTTAACACAAGTCATAGGGAACAAGAGACCAGGGCAGGTTTGTGTAAGATAGATGTATCTTAACTGGTCTTGTGAATTTTTTTCTCTTTCCCTGGAGAAAGTAAAAAGCTGGTTTTTCTCTGTTCACACCTTAACATTTCTTCCTCTGCAGAAATTTTTACTGTTCTTTTACATGTTATATAGGTAAGAATCCTCGTAATTTAGCCAGTTGTTATCTCATGAGAGTCATCCTAGGATATCACCCTTTATCTGTGCTGCCAGGTTTTTCTCTATTGAATTTTAAATGTGTTCTAATGTCCTCTGTGAAATTTCCAGAACTGCCGTACTTTTGAAGATAAGGGGCAGGCCTTTCCAGGTGTGTAAGCTAAAATTTTTGTTGCTGTTCTTGTTTTATAGAGCAACTTGTCATTTTTATGTTGCTGACTTTTCAACTTAGGGGGTATTTTTCTGGTTCTTTAGTTAGTGACCAAGCTTAATCATGTATTTTCTTTCTCTTGTATCCTCACTGGTTCTGCACACAAGTGTGCAGAATATTTGTGATTATATTCCCATTGTCTTTTATACTGAGATGTTTTAAGGGCTCTGACTCTTAATTTTTGATGGTTGAAGCTGAGAGTAATTCAAAGGTTTTCTACCCACAGCTGAGTCCATAACCTTATGCTGGTTATCAGCTCCCTGGAAAGGCTAACACGGTGAGCAGTCAGGCTGCTTCCCAGCTGCTGCAGTTGGTAGTGTGTTATCTTAAATCACCATTGATTTCTGCTTATGTTAATATGTCAGGCTGTGACTTCTAGCAGCTCTGAGCTCAGAGTCACAATCCTTGCTCTACTGAGGAAGTTACCAGCATCATAAAGTGGAGATAACTAAGCTCAGAGTGCACTCAGGTTAATCCAATAGGAACCATAAATAAAATTGCTAGATTAATTCTCTGTGAGTTACACTCTTAAGAGTGCAAGAGTTTGCAGTATGCTTTTGGTACTGGCCTGATGAAGCCTGGCAGTTCATTGCTAGAAAGGTAGTTTCCAGCAAAATTAAAGAGCAGCCTGGACTCTAATTCACCCAGTGGATCAGCCAACATCAACCTTAAGTGCCTCTGAACTGCGCTGCAGACAGGTTTAGTCTGCACACTGCCATTGAGGAAAGAATCCATGTTAAATCTTGCCTTTGGAGAAATTGCTAGAGTTAGTTGTGGTATCTGGATTCAGTCCTGAATTTCCCAAAGTGGTGAATGTTTGGAACTGCAGTCTTTAAGAAGTTCAAACTCTAAAACAGTGGAGCCATTTAATAAAGCTCTCAGCAGATCTGATTAGCTCAGGCTCAGTGCAGCACTGTGTGGCTTCTCATTCAGAGTGGGTTTTCATCTGGCTGGCTCTGATGTGGGCAGAGCTTCTCATCAGCCTGGAAAATACTGAGTAAACCTGCCAAGGTCTTAGAGTGCTGAATAATGCAATCATAACACACCTCTGCAGTGTTTACAATATAAATCCAATTTGTAAATATCAAATACAGGTTTGTACGTGTCGTGTTTCTCATTCCATATCTGGTATTTCACATTTTCTTACTAATCGCTTCAAACATCTGGAGTGTAAGAAAAGGTACATATGTAAAGAGGTAGGCAAGGCTTTACCTTCTCCTTGAATGCTTCCAGCTCTGCATCTGTAATTTTCCATGGAGTCTCTCGCTTTAATTTCTCAGCAGTTGTTATATCTTTGCAGCTTTCATGGAGACGATATGGTTCAATCATCTCTTCAAAGAATTTCCAGCTGAAATAGGAATTACAAAGGAGGCCTTTGCTGCAGGGTATGAACTCACTAACTTATTTCACAGTCACTGTGTATGACAGGCCTCGCTGATAATAATTGCAGCTGAAAAACGTGCAAAGTCTTTAACTGTTCTTTGCTACACTGTGCCCCAAGTTATATCTGTGCCACTTCAGGATGTTTGGGTTATTTGAGGATAATTAAAAGGTTATTTGAGGATAATGAAACACTGCGTTTGGCAGAGAATTTTCTGCATTTTCCTGGCTCTGATAAAAATGAGTTCTACAGTAACTCCAAACTGGTTACTAATTACTAATTATTTGTTACTAATATTAACAATGAATACGGGTGGCATAGTAAATATAAGGTTTTCTTATTGTTTTATCTCTAGCAAGACCAATCACTGGACTGATGCAGTTGTACTGATCATTTTAATGAAATGGATAAACAGGTGATATAAATTTCCTATGGTGAGGGGATAAAAGAAATGCTGTAGGTTTTTTGCTACATGGGGGCTCAGATTTGTGTTCATTTCTCAACTTCCCAACTTCTCCACAGACTTCCTCTGTGAATTTCATTTTTTTTCTTGAAGCTTTTGACTGTCATCATCTGGAGAAACTTCCTTGCTTGCTGCACTGTTGAAAGTTTTTTGTCGTCCCACAGAGACCTGAGGGAGTTTCTCTTGTGTCAGTGTGAGTGTATTTCTCTGAGTGCTTTGTGCTGACAGACCTCACTGGGAAGTGAAACGGGAGACTGGGCACAGGCTGGACTTTATGGCCAGGGTGTCATGAGATGGGTTAAAGGCTGTGATGTGCAGCATTTAGTGTGGCTGTTGCTAAGTTGTCAGAGTTTGTCAACACCCTTGCTCTCTGTTTCAGTATGTAAAATAGTGATGATCCTCTTATTATCAATGAAATAAGTGGGATGCCAGCTGGAAGAGAGGTACAGTGGCCTAGAAAGTGTCTGGTGAGCACGTTTTCAGTGGATCTCTAAGATCAAGAGCAATACTATGAATTGAGTTTAGGATGCAGTTATTCCATGAGCAACCTGCTACAGACTTTTGTCTACATGAGCAGAATAAATAGGTGATTTCTGTGGAAATATGTTTTAGAAAGAAAGGACTTTTAAGATTTTATTTTTGTTTTTTTAGCTGACACAGTTGGAGCTCCTTGAGCACTGTTTTACCAACTTCCTGACCTCTGCCTAAGATAAGTTAATTTTTTTAAAATATCGAACCTTCATTATATTTGAATGATAGGGAGTATTATAATGCTGTGCTCATGGAAAGAGGAAATATGCTTATGTTTGGCCAGAAAAATGTTATGAATTCATTATAGAAGCCAGAAGGTTGAGTTGACATAGATGGTAAGTTTACAGAAGAACTATGACTGAAGTCTATTGCAAGCTAAATAGATATGAAAAGCTCTCATAAAATGCCTGTTAAATTTAGTGGCTCCTAAGTATGGTGTCTAATTAGTCTTTATTAAAATTCTTATAATTACAACATAAAGAAAAAGGCTGCCTATGGTTTTGACCCTTTGAATGTTGATTGTTAAAAGGTTCTTTTCTTTTTCCTGTCTTGGTGCTTAAAAAATTATTTCAATAAAGTGACAGTGTTGTTCTCTGTAGTGTGTTTTGGTTTTTTGTTTTTAATACTCAACATAAAAGGAACAAGCTCCAGATAAAGGCTGACTGCTAAATAATGGATTTTGTTAATGTTTCTTACCTCTCTTTGTTGGGCTTTATATTGATATCACAAATGATATTAATATCAGCAAATTTTATTCTGAATTTGCTTAGGAGTGAAGCCATCCTGAAAACAAAAGAGAGAATGTTTTATCACTGTACTTCTGAGTGCCTTGTATCAAACAACACTCATAAATGGGTTAGACAACTGCATTTGATATCTTATCTTTAACTATATGACAAATTACTTTAAATGCTTTTAATGTTTCAATTTCCGATTACAGAACTGGATTAATGTGATTGCTGTAGTATAATTCATTTAATTGATGATGGATGAAAATGACAAAAAATGGAAATTAATAGCAGACAGAGGGCAGGGTGTTTACATTTGGGGAAAAAAATGGTACTGTAAGTATATCCTAAGGTTTGAGTTATAAAAGAAAAATATTCAAAATGCAGTAGGGCAGAATCCTCCAATACTTACAGAAGGCTTTCTGTTATTCTGTTATTATCAGAATTCTGTGCATGGAGTGTGTACAACACTGGTAGTGTATGTGTTGGGGAAAAAAAGAAAGCTGATGCACAATACCTAAAGAGTCTTTTTCATTTATGAATTTATATTGATCTACTCACATGTGGTTTTTGCACATTTTCATAAAAGAAAATACTTTACTTTTCTGCCCTGGTTGGCAGAAGGAATAGTTTATAGCTTTGTGTGTGTTTGTGCTAAGGTTAGAGAGGTTTACTTAGGTCAGTTTTGCCTTTGTTTGAAGCACAGTTGGGATCTTGTGGTTCTTCCCCACACCTCCTTTTTTTTTGTATGTAAGCTTTGGAATTTGAAAAGGTCAGAGAGTTCCTAGGAGAAAACCATGGTAGAAGTACATATTTGTTTGTGACCTGAGAGTTGACTCATTCTTTTTTATATATATTTAAGAAGAACATACTGCTTGTATAAATCTCGATGTCCCTTGGGGCAATCCTTGTTTTGAACAGGAAAAGAGAAAAGTCTCAACTTCTGTGGAGAGGTTTTAATATTTGGGGAATTACATGCTAGTAAAAGTCCAGTTAAATTTAACTTCTGAATTGGCTGAAAATGAGCTTGACTGATGTTGTTTTTAACTGCTCTTTGTTAAGCAGTTGCTGATTTTCATCCCAAATTGAGCTGCTTCCACCAGTGGTGAAATGGTTGTGCCTCTAGTGTGTAAAGTGCTTTGGAAGGAAAGGTCCTGTATACAATGATGATAAAAAGAAGTTAATATTAGTACCTTTCATTTGCTTGAAGGCAAATGATGATTATGAAATCTGGACTTTTTTTAAAAAGCCGAGTAAAATCAACTTGGTCCTAAAGTTGATTAACTTGCTCTTTAACTTCTTTACTTTTTAGCAGAGTTAATCACATTTATGTGAGCTATCTGTATGTGGTATTGCATATGAGAGTTTCATGTGCAATTTCACTTGCTGTTAACTGGACGATCTCATGTAAATCCCATAAAAGTAATTATATTCTCATTATGAAGTGCAGACTGCTCTTCTTAGGGAAGGGAATATGAGCTATTAATGGGAAAAAGTGCTGGATGTGAGTTTCCTTTGGTAATCACCATTTGCAGAGCCTTGAGGGCTATGCCATAAGTTCAACACCTTTCTGCCAAGTATATCTGTGTTTTTTCCTGCTGCCCACAGGACAACAAACCGGTTGTGCTGGAAAATTCCCAGCTTCCTGCTGCGTATGAATTATATTCAGCACCATTCAAAACTGAACAGTGAGATAAACAAAATTATATTTACACTAGTTTTTCTTCTTCAATCCTATTGACTTTTCCTCCAGTGAAGATCCTTAATTTACAATTTCTCCACTTCTTCCTGATAGTTAGAATGTAAGGAATTAGGATTGTTAGACCTGGAAGTACATACAAAATTACAGGAAGATCAGATTAGTGCATCATGTGGTAAAAATTCCATCCTTCACTTCAGCAGCATTGGACGTAAGTTAATTTTAAAACATGTAATCCAGAAATATAATTGAATATATGATCTTAAAAGAAAACAGTTTAAAGCAAAGTCCCAAGTCTGTTTTTATGTTTGGTAATGCAGAAATCTCTTTCCCTGTGGTTCTTATTCAAATTCCTTACCTCCGTCATCGAACAGCCACCAAATGTCAATTGTTCCTTTTCCTTGCTTCTTTTTAAATTGAGTGCTGGCTTCTAGCAGCTTCTGATTGAATTCACCCACATGCATTGACTGCATGGTGTTAATGGTGCTCTCTGCAATGGGAAAGAAAAAAGTGTGGAGGGATGTCTGACAAGTGAGGATACGAGTAGCTTTAGGGAGCCAAACGGAGAGAAACCTTCAGGGAAATGAACTGTTTGTGACATAATTTCTATACTTTAAATCTGAAAAAAACCCCAATTACAGAGTGGATGCTGTGGAGTTTTAATGTGCCAGCACTCACAGAAACCAAAGCTTGTGGGATACATTGTCACTAGATTATAGCATCTTGAAAAGGGTTGTCTGATTATTTGTTCTCTGTCTCTTTTTACTTAATGTAAAATTCACTGGGGCCTTAAAAAGCAAGTGGGAAATATCTGATAGATTTTAGAAGTAAGTGTATCATTTTGCATCATTTACAAGCTCAGCTGTCTTGTAAAACAGAGCTTTCCCTGGAAGGCACAGCCATGGTGGATGAAACCAGGATGCAGTGGGAGCACAGGTGAAGCTGAGGCTGGAAGGCAGGAAACACAGACATATATGGCTGCTTCCCTGGGCTGGGCTGGTCCTTGTTAATTGAAAATAAATTCTGGTCCTTGCTGCTTGCTTGGTTGGCTTCAAAAGTCATAGTCTTGACTATGCACTAACAATGTCTTCTCTCATTGCAGCTTTTGAAGCCCGTGGCTTTATTACTGCTCCTCTTTCAATGATTTCAAAGAGATGGTGTCAGAGCAGTATTTTAAATGGAGCACACAGGCTTCTTTAGGGTTTTACTCTGATCTGCTAGTTTCTGAAAATGCTTTGTTTGGTTTTCCTGTGTTTCTGGAGTGTGTACAGGATAGTTCTAAAGCAGTTCTAGCATCTCTGCTGGAAGATGCAAAAACTCTGGGGAGTATGAACATAAAAGCAAAACAGAGAGGCAGGGATATTTATTATCATAATCTATCTCATGTAGAGATACAGAGTATGCAATATGTATTTCCTTTATGCCCTTCTCAACTAAATCAAAAAGGGTAGTTGAAACAGAGGTGTACACTTTTGTTGGAATTGTTGTAAAAATATATTTTACTGAAGCCTGCAAAATGAACTGAAGTCTGCCAACTAAAGAATAATGATATTTTATGTTTTCAGTCTGTAGATCTTCCTGATACCCGTGGGAGTTGAATGCACAGCCAGATGTAATAGTCTCTGCAGGTGAAAATTCTGAAAATACATGTCTGTGTACAGGCATGGCTTCAGGTGGGTCATTACCATTACAGCCTAGCAGTTGTGAAATGAGACCTTAAATTCTGGCTGTATTTCTGTATCATTTTACTATATCTGAAATGTAATTTTGATTTCATCACCTACACATTTAAGTTATGTGTTAATTAGTTATTTGACAGCATGCTGTGCATGTACTTTCAGTACTTTTACCACCTTGTGCATTTTTATGAAATTATGCCTGGAATATAGAGCAGTTGTGCTATTTTTACCTGGTTTTCAGCTGTGTACTGAGTTTGTGTGTGTGTGTGTTAAGTAAAGTAAGATTGCTTGTTTCCTGAATATTGGGCATATGTTCCTGTTTTCTTTAAAGAGGAGGAAAAAAGGCCTCTGTTTAAAAACTGAAAACACCCAATTAAAACAAAAAACAAAACAAACAACCAAAAAAATCCCCAAACCAACTTGTTCCGTATTCATCAAAGAACCATATTCTATTTTTGACAAATAGAATTGAACATCAGCTGAGCTGAGAAGTTTATCTAGCAAAGGAGGGGAGAAAATTGGTTGTGTTTTTGAGATAGTGTGTCCTACAAGCAGAGGATGTCACTCTGTGCTGTGTTACAGGGCTGTAGCCACCGTGACAGCTTTGCACAAGGGAGATCCTTTTCCAGGGGCTTCTGTATGGCTCAGGAGCTTTTGGCTTGCAGTAAAGTCCATTTTGTATATTGGTGAAAGCAGGATGTATTGAAGGGTCAGGAAGGAGCTGTCATTTTGGAACTTACCCTTTTTTGTTTCATGTTTTGAGATATTGAGTGTGCTGGCTTTTTTGAAGAATCCACAGATGCCTCTTTTTCCTTCTTCAAACTCATTTTCCTTAATGGTGGCTTCCAGTGCCAATCTCTCCTGCTCCAGCTTCTCTAATTCCTCTGTATATTGGAAAAAGTAAGTGAACTGGTAACACATCACTTTCTTTTTTAAATTAAATCACTTATTGAACTAATGGTGGTGATGTAATTGCCGTTAGGGTACTTTGTAGACAATGGAAAACTGCTGGGAGGAAAAACTCTTCTAAAATGCTTCTTTTTTGCAAACTAGTAGGGAGGAGGAAGCTGAACTCGGCTGTGGAAGGCCTAACTTAGGGTGCCTGTGCCTACAGCAGTGGGGTGTGCTACAGTGCTACTGAGCTGCTCTCAGGTTTTCTCTTACAGATCAAATTCAGTATGATGACATTTTATAGTTACATGAGATATTATTTATTGAGTTATATTTGTGGATATTTGATTGGTTTCTTTAGCCAAGAATTTGAAAACACAATAGAAAAGCTGTTTTCCTAAAATAAGAGAGCTCAGATATTGAGTTTGAGCCTATGGGTCCCTTATCTAAGAACAAAGTCACACGGTTTGGACTTTGAGATTCTCAGAAATATGTAAGGATCCTGAATATGCCATCAGCTTCTATGCTAAAATATTTTTAATTTTTAAGCATTTGCTGTAAAGATGTAAGATTTATCTAACCAGTCCTGTCAATTTAGTAATATAAAAGAACAATTTCATCTTACCAGTATTAGATTTTTGCTGAGAAAATGGTACTACATGTTATTGTGGAATATATTATGGTGAGGCCCTAATTAATGTGGTCCAGGCATTTGCCTGCAGAAAACTTTTTTCGTAAGGAAAACTTCTATTTGAGTAATACATGAACGAAATGTTCACTTAAGTAAAGTTCCTGTAAAGTTCTTTTAAGACATTATGTTAAAAAATAAACCCTCACCAGGTGGACATTGTTAGCTCTGCTGGCACTCTGAGTTGCCAACACAAAGAATATACTTTCTTTTACTCTATGATCCATGACAGCCATGTGCTTCTGATTATCAGACACGGTGATAGTCACAAACTTAATGGTTACTCAAAACTAAAATTTCAGTTTCTCCATTGAACATAGTGCTGTATAAAGTCTAATAGAATACAGTGATCTTTGTTTTCCACTACAAAGACTTTGTATCTACTTCAAAACATTTCTTTGTATTTGAGGGTTTTTCTCCCCGCCCCAATCCTAATTCTTCCTGACTCCTTGTGTCTGACCAATTGAAGAACATTTGTTATTTTGTAAGAGCGCAGAGCTGGTACTTTTTGTATTTTCACAAGTGTTGCAATGACTGTACGTTTTGAGCAGTCAGTTTCTGATTTGCATCAAGCGAAGAGACAGGCAGATCTCCCTCAGGTGTGACCAAGGGGAGAAGAAATCTTGATTATCTTAGAATTTTTTCCCAAGTCCCCGTGGCTCTCCGTGCACATCGAGCTGCCGGTCTGCTGAGCGAGCGCTCGTCCACCTTGCTTTTTAAAGGAGTCTCTGGCGCATTTAATTCTGGGAGGTGATTTGCTTTTGAGCGTTACCTCGTGCTGTACCCCCGCTCTTTGCCGGGGTGTTCTGCGGGCTGTGCTGTGCCCGGGCGGTGTGCGCGGCGCTGGGCGGCAGCAGAGAACTGCGCGGCACCGGCAGGGCTGAGCCTGGGGCTGGCCGAGCGAGCACACAGACTGACACCACAGAGGTGTGGGGGAAATTATCGTACTGAACACCTTGAGAGCTGTTCCCTTCCCCGGAAAACCTCAGGAACAAATAAGACCTCTGTGTGCTAAAGGGGAAAAAAACAAAACGAAGGCTGCCGTTGTGTGTGTGGCTTTTGGAAGCCCTTCTTTTGAGTGCAGCTGTCTGCTTGCTCTGTCTCCCTCTACCTTTTCCACCCAGATGGCATGGATCCTCCAATGGTTCACAGAATCATAGAATATGCTGAGTTGGAAGGGACACATCAGGATCATCGAGTCCAACTCCTGGCCCTGTGCAGGACACCTTAAGAATCACACCCTGTGCCTGAGAGTGTTGTCCAAACACTTCTTGAACTCAGACAGGCCTGGTGCTGGGACCACTTCCCTGGGGAGCCTGTTCCAGTGCCCAAACACCCTCTGGGTGAAAAACCTTTTCCTGATATCCAACCTAAACCTTCCCTGACTCAGCTTCAGGCCACTCCCTTGAGTCCTGTCATTGGTCATGAGAGGGAAGAGATCAGTGTCTGCCCCTCCAATTCTCCCCTCATGAGGATGTTGAAGACCACGATGAGGTCTCTTCTCCAGGCTGAATGAACTAAGTGACCCCAGCCCTTCCTCATAAAGCTTCCCCTCCAGACCCTTCACCATCCTCGTGGCCCTCCTTTGTACACTTTCTAATAGCTTAATGTCTTTTTCTATATTAGGGTGTCCAAAGCTGCACACAAGACTCAAGGTGAGGTTATGGTGTGTTTTTCCATTTCCCCTGAGATATTCACTGCTAACCTAAGGAAGAATGAACAGAAAGGTGAAGAAGAATTGATGTTTCCTGTGGGTTCTGAATTTTTGCATGAGTGGGAACTCTCTGGGCCCCAGAGTTCTGCAGAGGTGGTACCGAAAGTGCAGCTTCCTGATTCCTGCCAGTCCCAGAGGACTCAGGTAAGCAGAAGGAGGAAGATGTGTCAAGACCAGGAAAGAAACGTGCAGCAGAGTGACAGGTTGCTGTGGCACAGCATGTTTTTTTATTGCTTTAGTCTGTGCCTGTGCTGGAACTGCTCTGGGAGTTGAGTTCTCTGGAGTGCAGAGCCTCTTAATGTGTGAGGCTTGAACTCCTGTCACTGCCAGTGATCAGCAAGGATTTTGGGCAGGATTTAAATTGCAGAAGCAAGGAGGAACTGTAGAAGTCATGAGTGTAGGAACTATCCTAGAAACCAGATGGTGACTCTTAGGGGTGCTTCTTGTGCTGTGCATGTAACCAGAACAGATATTCAGCTGTGGAGTCTTACCTTGAACCTGAAGGACCTGAGAGATATCAAATCCTTGGCTAATTCTGACAATAATCACCCCGAGCTCAAAATCAAAGGCATCACTGGAAAGAAAGAAAAAGAAGCATAAATATGCTTTTGCATTGTGCACGTCAGGGAGGGAAGCTGCTTTGAGAAGATCAGTAGAGGTGTCACTGTTCACAGGGAGGCCAGGCAAGATAAAATTGCAGAAGGAATTGCCTAAGATTAAGTTAAGTACTATACATTTTCTTCTCTTATTTAAAAGAAGGCTATGATTGGAAATGGGAACAGATAGGCTATTCCTGGAATGGAGCTTTCAGACAACACTTTTTTAGGAACTAGGTTGCCATTGGGTAATTTTTTCTCCCTACTCTGAGGAAATAACAGAGCTGAGGTGGGGTTTGTTGCTCTGCAACTTGCTTATGGTGAGGTTTGAGCAAAAATCTATGAGAAGCCTGTTTCTAAATGACTGTTTCCCAGTGAAATCCCAACCCACAGAGCTGCTGAGCCTTAGGCACACATGAGATTTGAAGCAAGGCTCTTCCTCTGTCTCCTAGGCTTAAAAGAAGAATTCTATGATGTTCTCTTATTCCCTAAGTATGTACATGATGGTTGTTTTTCTCTGAGCTCCTACCCACTGAAAATTGGGAAAATGCAGCTCTGCAAAAGCCCTGCTGACAGCAGAGCAGCTCCTTCAGTGCTGTCAAGCCACATCAGCTCCGACAGTGCAGATGTTTGACAAGCAGATCCTACTGGGTGTGGGAAGCCAAGGAGCCTTTTTTAATGGGCAGTAACTTCTTTTACAAGGGTAAATGTGTGAGCCCAGATTTGTAGGTATTTATGTTGTTTCTACACATTCTGTATGTCCATGCTATGTTCATCTGGTCTAAGAGGAGTGAAAAGGGAGGTGCTGAGCTGACTTACTGTATAACGCCCACATAGTTTTCAATTTGTGTGGCAGGTGCACTTCTCCAGTCCTTCTTAAATCCAATCACCAAGGTATTTGGTTTCATTCTGCCCAAGCCTGAGGCCTAACAATGTTAAAACACAGCTTAGAAAGGTACAGACACACACACACACATGCTTTTAACTGTAAATGAAAAGTAATGACAAAAGATAACTGAAGTAATGTTCTGGAGACACTTACAATGAGATTGCATTTCATAAATGCCCTTCGTGCTCATACCCAAGCAGAAATCAGAAAGATTAGCTTTAAATCATTCCAACTAGAAATGATTTTAGATGACATAAATGTGGGTTTGCTAAATTAGCATTCATTTGCATTTCTTCTGACATGCTCTCATTAAAATGGTTCAATAACTTGGAATCAAGAGAGAGTTCAAGAACTGTTTGCATGCTCATTCTAACATAATAGCATAAAGCTTTTATCAGCTTTGGAATACTCCATAGATGAACTGAGTCTGAAGTCTCTTAAAACACCTGAGACACAGAGAAGGCACAGCCTCCTAAGAATACTTTTTTTTCCTTGAATTTGGAAACTGTTGCTGTTCCATCTGCTGTATTCTTTCCAAAAGATTATCCAAAATCAGGTGAGCATGCTTTATAGATACGTCAAAGTATCCTTTTATGTGAAGCATTACTGTTTAGTGTTAAATTATGGTTTATAAACAGGAAGAAGAAATGGTTTGTCAGGATATTAAATTGCCTCCAAAACTGGTTCTGGATGCTAAACCTGGGCAAGGAAGGGTAGTCAGATCTAGATTCAGCTGACTTAATTTTTGTAGAAATCTAAATACTCCGTGTATTGGGAACCTTCAGGAGGAGACACACAAAATCCCAGCTGGTCAAGTTGTTACACTTGCCAATTTTTACTACTAGCAAGCAGAAAAGAGGTAAAAACCGTTGGAATCTTGGTGGGTTTTTTGAGTAGCTCTGATATATCTGCACTGTTTACATTGAAATGAATAATTGTTGCACATGACCTTAGGTTACAGTAGTGATGATATGGTTTTCCTTCTGTTTGCTGGAAGGGAATTATTTGTGGTCCAGTAGTTGATTTTGGCAATAGTAGTAATGGAAAGGAAGAGATCATCAGACTGTAACAGTTCTCAAAAACATCAGAGGGATCTCCTACTGAGACAATGTATAAACCCAAGATGAAGTGTCTTTGTGAGGCTTTGATAGAACAAAGGGACCTTTATTAATAGCATTTCATCTTGCTCAATTGTACTGTCCATTCAGCGAGCGCACAGAGAGCCCTGGTAGGCTGCCAGTGGGTGACTGTTACCCAGAGTATTTTAGTTGGTTCCCTGCTGTCTCAGTTTGCACTGATGTCTTTTCAGCAGTGTATTTTGTGCAAAGGATGCGAATTTTCTCTACACTTTGCCTCAGTACCTGTATGTTTAAATATTCATATATATGAAGGAGGGGAGATGGGAAATATGAAAACAGTGTCTCTGTGCCTTCATTAAGGCCATTTTAAATGGACTGTTGGAAATGATCTGCTGTATTCTTGGAGTAATAGAAAAATATTGCAGAGTTTTATTTAAATGGCCTCCTCGCTGTTTGCAGAAAATGTATATTACACATTTTCAGTTTTCATTTAATGCAAAAACATTCTCATATATTTAATATGCTGTGTAATACCAAACAATAGAATTGATTTGAAGTGTATAAAGTGTCAGCTGCAAAGACATTCATATGTTGCCCTGCAGATGCCTCTCTTTTTTCATAAGTGTCTTGTTCATTTAGGAGAGAATCAGTCTGCCTTGTCTCATAATGCCACAGCCCAGAACGAGATCTTTATGAAATGATCTGTAATATAATATTCATTTATATTATGCCCCTTCTGCATTCTGCCCCGAGAATGCCCCTTCTGTCTATAACATTATCCATCCATACATACACAGGGCTTCTTATCGAGTAAACAGTAATGCTTCACATAAAGGGATGCTTTGATGTAACACTCCTCTGTGTGTTCTGTAAACAAAAAGCTTACTTGAAGAAGACTTTTGACTCCATCTCTGAAGCTGTCAGCTGCCACTGCTGCATAAAAGGCTTTTCTTTTGTTCTTTGTGAGCCAGGCCTGCTTTTTTTCCATGCCACTGTTCATCTCCTTAACACACAGCTTGCGTGGGCCCTGCATGATACAATAAAATATTATTAAGGTTTTGTGTTGTACATCACACAGTGATTTTGAAGGAGCTACCTGTGAGTTCTGCTGTGGGAGCAAATGGAGAGAGCCAGAAAAACACATTTCCAAAAAGGGTCCACAGAGATTCAGCCCTTTGAAAAGAAGTGTGCTGCTAACATAATTCACGTTCTGTTCGAGAGGGCTGAGGCTGTTAATGCTACTTAAATATAGTGATTCTGACAGAGAGAGGGACTACTATGGATTGTAACATCTTGAAAAAATATCTAAGGTATGATAAAGCATCTCAGAGTGAATAAAGTCCCTCCCTGACTTGACTATGTAAAAGAGCAGATCTAAATATACTTGTTTAAGCTCCTATCTACTAATAGTAAGAGAAAAGAGTTGTGCAATACAATTAAAGATGCAAATGCCTTTGACACCAGTTTCTTTCACTGGTCATCTGGTAAGTTAATGGGACAAAAATCCATGTGCATATTGGAGTCACCATACATGGATATTATGTACGGAGGGTTCGATCTTGGCTGTTTGAAGAGCTGGGAATAGTAACTTGAACAATAAGTTTGATGTTTCCTTGGGGGTAAGGGGGGAGAAAAACAAGGTTTACCCTTCTTGCCTGTCTCTTTAAGGAGAGAGAACCTGAAGATGTTTTTGCAGCTGGCTTGCACAATGTTTCTGCTGGCCAAGGGGCCAGTCCCACCCTTCTGTCAGGGGACAGCCTGTCTGTGTCCTCCCCTGCTCCTGCTTTGCACCCATGGTAATGTCTGTGCAGTTGTACAAGGAGCGCAGTGAATTTGCAGACTGAAGATTAACCTTGCAAAAATAGTCTGTGAAGGCAGGGAGTAAAAGCAGGATAGTCCTTTTTACTGGAAACCTGGACTGTTCAAGCCAACATGCATCCACAACCTCAGACACAAGTAAACTTTAAATTGTCTTTACGTTCAGTTGCTCTATTTATTTTGCCTATTTTTGAACTATCTGTCACCATGTTCCTGGAAAGTTTCTTGCTGCTTTTTGGAAAAAAGGAATGGAAAATGCTCTCTCTGGCATGGTGTCTCAAAACTTCATGCATAGATGACAGCATGTCAGCTTTTGAGGCAAAATATGCTGGATGTTACATTTATAGCTGAATAGTCTTGCTGTATTTTATGATATATATTGTAGGCTGCTCTTCAATGTGGTTCCTAGGAATTTTATCATCATTTTTTACTACAATTTTGCAAATCGTAGAGGTTCATTTTGTCACATTTTTATTACCAAGCAAATGAAATTTCACTTAAGTTGCCAAAGAAATAATTTAACCCCCTCGCCCCAAAATAATTACAATGCTTACACTAAGAAAATAGACTTAGGGGGTTTTGTATGGACAGGAATGAAATCTCAGTTTTCCTTAGAAAGCACTAGTATTAGAGAAACATGCCTAAGAATTCAGAAACATTGCTGAAACTCAGCTTTAGGAAGCTGCATAGTTTCAGGATCTTGTTGGGATTGATTCTCTGCTTTTACTGCATGTGATGGGAAAGCTAACAATAATTACAGTAGGGAAGAACTGGGACCAGTCACTCTTTATGGATTGATTTGATTTGAGAAGAATCACATATGGATCTTCTGTACTCCGTTTCTGCAATGTGGCAGCATCAAATGAATTATTCCTACACTCCTGTAGAGCAATGCATTATCTTTCCTGAAATGACTCTGTTATCTAGATTCTGCATCCCCATTTGTTGCCATGAGCTGGTGTTTTTTTTCTTTCTTTTGCTTTCAAAATGAAAAGGTCATTGTAATATTTAAAACACATTTTCTCTCTACATTACAGACCTACCTATTTTTATTCTGTCCTAATGAGAGACTACATCTTCATCCTCGAAGATACAGAATTTGCTGTGTGTATTTATAATTAGAAATTTACTTTTCTCCTCTCCTTAGATCTCAGAAGAGCATGTTTATCCTCAGAATTAGCCTTGTAACAGTTTTGGAGGAACCACTGCAAATTACTGAGAGCTGAATTACTTGCCAAACCCCAAGACTGCAAATCAGTGACAGAGCTAAAAATGGAGCCTGGGTAATTTGACTTTTGCACAATAATCCTTCAAATTTTATGTGTTGTGTGGTTTGGGGGTCTTCTGTATTCTAAGCCTAAAATCTTTCCTTGTAATATTCTGTTCTTTTCAAACCATTTTTTTGGTCCATCTGCTATGAACTCTGAAATGCATCTCAATGAGGCATTTACCAGCAGGCTCCGTGTCAGCTGATGTCTTTCGTGTCAAGGATTATGACAGAATTCCTTCTCAGTGCGAGTCTCTGTCATGGTCTGCCCAGACACAGAGCGGCACAACAGGAACACCGTGTGCTGAGTGAGAGTGGAATGTGCAGTGGGGACCTGCAGCACCCACTGGGGCTGAGTTTCCAGATCTGTCTGAGCTGACCTTACCATGAACACTTCACAGCAGATGCACAGCCCGTTGTTCTTGGTGAAGGTGTGTGTGATGTCCAGCAGAGCAGGCCTGATCATAGGAGCTCCTGTTAGTGCTATGCACTGGGGTCTGTTAGGAAGAAAACAAGCTGTAAATATTTGGCTGATATACATGTTCAGGATAAGCCATTCTGCTGTTTACTGGAGATCTTACCTGAAGTTTTTCACGTGGTCTTCCACCGTAGTTAATGCCAGAGCGCTGTCTAAGGCATTAACAAAGTAAAGAGCCTGTGTAGAGGAACCCCAGTTTACTTCTGCATATAATAGAGATAAATAATGCATATTAAACCATGGACTTTTCCCTGTGTTCTGTTGCAAAAGTCAGCAATCATGTTCTCTATGAAACAAAGCAGGGTATATTCTCTTCTACTTCACAGATACAGACTTGTTGTTCTTTGTGCTTCTAAATAGAATAGGTTTTGTTTGTGTGATGCAAAAAACCCCCATGCAAGTAAATGTTTTTGACAGGTGCCTTGTGACAGGTGTGTTCTCCTAGAGCCGATGATATATTTACAGGAAAGAACCACAGGCAATTCCAATGGGTATGAAAACCCAGATAGGGAGGACACACAACAGTGCAGCAATACAGAGAAAAGAATAACAGCCTCAGACCAGGTGTTGCTGTCCCCAGCTGGGTGCAGTAAAGGCACATCTTCTCCTGGGAAACTTGTCCCTTTTATTTGTGTTATTTTCTTTATACTGCAGAAGTAATTCAGGTGGTTATCACTGAAATCTGGACCTGGGTTAGTTTTGTCCTGGATATGAATAACCAGACTGTCTTGTCTGGTACTGGGGCTGTATTGTATTAGCACACAGATTTCTGAGGACAGCTCCTGTGACTTGCTGAGCTACTAAGCAGTTTTTTTCCAGCAGTAAAGTGTGCCCATCTTCTTTTGATTTATGGAGGGATTGTAAGGAGGTGCTGGAGGATGATCAGTTCAGGAGTAATTCAGATTGCATTTTTGTTGTTGTATAATGGGCAGCAGGTTTACATTTTGAGTGATGACTCTGAATGAGTCAGCTGGGAGCACTGCAAAATTCAGGTAAGGTTTTGTGTGTGGGTGGAAAAAAATTATGAGTGATACTCAAGTAAAACCCCAAATGTCATAAAGATGTGGTGGGAATAAACTAGTCTACTGGAATGTTTACAGAAAGCCCTGAACCATTCTTGAAGTACTTGTGAAACAGGCAAACATTCACCAGACTATCAGCTTAATCTATATTATATAAAGTGGAATTTAATGGGATGCTTCAGACTTGCCTCTAAATAAAGATATCAGAGAAAAAGTAATTGCTAATTCTGTAAGCAGAATGAATTCCTTTAAAATCCAGTCTGGCTATATAACATATACACATAATAATAGCAGAGTTTGGCCTTACCTGGCTTCTTATATGTTACATAAATATACAAAAAGAGCTCAATGGCATAAGTGATGAGAGCTGCCCACCAGTTGATGACAAACATCACACCACAGCATAGCAGGGCTCCAAAAAGTGACACCCACATGTTATAATACCTGAATGCAGGTCTCCAACCTGTTTAAAGACAATTGAGAAAATTAGAACAGCATAAAATACACGGATGAAAGTGTGATTGATGATTTTTTGTGCATACAAACCCATGTGCAGTTTGTTTCAGGCTCTGTCAGAAGGGGTGGGAGTGATATGTGTGTTGTATCAACAGATACTTTTAAGTGTTGGCTGCTGTAGGTTTCAACACATACTGAATATTGGGTCTTACAAGCCTTCTGCTATTTCCTACTGCTTTGCTCAGCGTGGCTTTGAGTAGCTATTCTGTTTATAGGTATTTTTCAGAAATTAAAGTTTACTGGTTCAGAACATTACAGAACATCAGAAACAAATTTTCCTGTAACTCCAGGTAATTGGTGACTCTGTCCTTTTGATGCATATACACACAACTTATTATTGGTAGCTGAACACTTGCTGAGAGGAGAGTTTATCCCACTGTACTGTAAGTGCACCTGTCTAAAATTGGAAATCGCCTGACCTCACTGCAGAAAAATAAAATCATTTGCAAGTGACTTTAAAAAGGTATTATTCCTGCTGCTCTTCAGCTGCAGCACTGAATCCATCCCCTGCTACCAATTAAAATGATGAGGCAAGCAGTGAGCCTCCATGGTTTGCAGGTCTCTGCCAGGTGTTCTACAGAGCACACTCTTTGGAGAGGGAAAAACACACAGAAGATACAAGAAGGGGCTGAGAAACCCTGTCTTGGATCATCTTTGTAATGAGGGAATGGGAAGGACCTGCTGTGAAGAAATTTGCTGTCCTGCAGCCTTGCAATTATTATAATCTATCACTGTGAATTGACAGAAATTAACTGGAGGAAATGAGAAAAGAAAAATGGCTGCAGTTCTGTCTGAAATGTTAAGCAGTGGTAGAGTCAGATGCAGGCAGATGAAGTCTATAGAGGTAATTGTTACTCAGCTCCAAGGCCATGTGGAGCATATCTGCATTTGTTCAGCTGTGCAGGTAATTAGCAGAAGTGCTCATCTTTTCTGCCCTCTGAACAAATGGCACCATGCAGCTCTATAGGAAGGGAGTTGATGGAGGCATTTGTGTTGCTATTGCGGTTTCTTCACACTGGAAATCAGAAGTATATTCCTCGCTCCTTGAGTTGAATAATTAATTCACAGCATCAGGAAATTGTCTTTCCTGTGTGCCAAAACCAGTGTTACTCAGCTGATTGACTTCAGTCCTGAAGGTGTCACCCCTTCCTTGATGAAGATGTGAGAATCACTCAGCTATAGCAGGGCACCAGCCTGAAAGCCACTGTGTTCCTTTGCTGCACAGATGTAGAGAGGGGATCTCAAGTTACCCCTGGACAGGCTCTCATTGCATTTCACCTTACAGTTCTGCTTCCAGGCACTGCAGAGCTGTGCTGGTGCTGTCTGGGGGACCTGCTCTTGCTCTACATGTTCCCCTCCAGGCAGCATCACTTCTACTGCAATTACTGTTTGTATGAACCTCCCCACACGCTTCACTGTAGATTTGGAGGAGAAGGACATGATTAATCCCCAGCACACCTTGCTTTATGTGGCTAGAGTTGGCACAGGCTTTTATCCACCCGTGTTTCGTGATAGTGAGGGGAAAAAAACACCCTTAGGAGGAGCTTTTTTTGCTCCAGTGGGATCCACTGAAGTATTTTTCATCCTGTACAACTGTAGGGATTGTAAGGACTAGAGCCATTATTTTTATCTTTTGGAGATAAATAAAATGTCTTCATATTCAATAAGAGCAGTAAAACATCTGATCACATAGCCTAGGTATTTTACACATGCTGCAAATTCCTCTGATATACAGTCAAAAACTTGCAGAGGTCAGACTATAAAGCCCACATTTAAATCACTGGTGAATGCAGACTCACCTGGAGATTTTGCGTATGAGGCATGAAAGCAGGAGAAGTTAATCAGGGCGTACGAAGCCAGGAAGAAATTGGAAATGATGGGAGCAATGGTATTCAGTTCAGCTGCAAGACATATACACAAGTCAGACATAGGCACCAGGTTCCTAGGTTGTTGGCTGGCTTTTTCCTAATGATGCATTAAATCTGAACATTGTCTGAATTTGTCATCCAGGGAGAGCTTGGGTATTTTACTGTCTTAGGAATTGAAGGCCACTTTGATATACCTTCATTCACATGAATTATGTCTGTTAATGCTGATTTTAATGACATTATGTGCTTTGCAAGGTTATATTTGATACTGTGATTCTACAGACTGTCTCCTAACAATGTAGATCTGGTATAAAGTTAAGAATTTTAAATACATAATTAAAAGGACAGAGGCTTTGCACAAAATATTTACAGTTAAAGCTTATTGTTTTGCTTTTTAAAATGGAAATCCGAATTATCTCTACTAGACATCCTATTTACTTAGAGTCAGACAGTTCAAATCTCTAATCTTGGAAAAACTGATTTAAAAATCCTCACACCCCTAAATACAGTAGCTGGGATTTTCCACCACCAGTGCTGGCAAACTGTGATTTGCTTTGGAGTTGACTGTGGGGAAGCCATGGGCAGAGCAGGAATTGTCTCAGGACTACCGTAGAGCTATGTGCAATATAAACTGGAAAACCATTTTCAAAGCTTCTGACTTTGCCTTATTTGATATAGTTCTAAACACTGCCCTCTTCCGGCAGAGTGAACAGGAACTGAAACTATGCAGCATCTTTGAAAATGAGCTGTGGTGGTGGTGAGATGTCACAGGAGTCCCTGTTGGTTTCTTTTTGCCATCATTAAGAATAATGGAACTGCTACCAGGACTTGAGTGTGCTTGAGTTTATGTCAGAGCTTACCTGACTGGAAATTTTTCTAACCATAGCTAATAATTGTATTAAAATAACAGTTTATTTAATTTCAGAACATGGTATTATAGCAGTTATTATATTATTATATTTATTACATATAATTATAAATATATTATTATACAAACCAATCAAAATGAATGCCATAGCGATCACGAAAGTGAGAACATATCCCCTGATGGGCTCGTTGTTTTTTCCATATCCTTTGGCAAAGAACTCGAGCCCTTTGTAGACGTTGTCCTTGCAGAGAGCCTGGTAAGAAA